AGCACTCAAATACTGCTTGCAATGGGACAGCAACGGTTCCATAATCACTAGCTCGAATAGCTTCGAAACGGCACTTAACGATGTAATTCCTCGATAGTTATCCACAGCTCGTTTCCTTCCTTTTTTGTGGACGGGAAACATGTGCGCAAATTTCCAGCAAGATGGCAATATGCCACCTGAGAGAGACATTCGGAACAGGCGAAGAAGCGGAATTAACAAGCTAGCAATATGTCACTTCAAAAATACAGATGGAACTCCATCAGGTCCAGGATTGAAGGATGACTTGAGCAGAGTCGCGGCCTTAGAAATCATTTCTGCATTAACATCAATTGCACCCAGCGTTTGATCGTTTACTGGAACGTTCCTGGCAGCCAGGTTAATATGGTCGTCAGTTAGTGTCTCATTAGTGAATACACTGGAAAACTTTTCAGAAAAAAGGTGGCATATATCCTGAACAGTGGCAGCAACTTCTCCGTTGAATTCCATAGACGATGGGAGGCCGGATTCCCTGCGTTGCTCGTTCACGTAGTTCCAAAAGGATTTCGGGTGTAGCTTAAGTTTGCGCTGGATGCCTCGTTGGAAACTTGAAAAGCATTCACGACTGACTCGCTGGTACATGTGATTCAGCCTCACATAATGTAGTTTCAGAGGAAGCGTGCGATACTTCGTAAATCTTCTCAATGCTGCTCTCTTGATTGACTTCAACCTACGTAGCTCTCTCGTCTGCCAGGGAGGGTGAGACACTTTGTGGTGAGTTCTTTTCGGGACGTGTCTGTCAATGACATATGCCAAGACATGTGAAAAGGTTTGCGCTGCAGCCTCAACGTCATCTGGATCAAGGATGTTCTCCCATACCATGCTAGACAATACATCTATGATGCTACGGTGGTCAGCTTTAGGGAAGTCATAAGAAATCGTAGCAGTATAGTCACCGAAATCACGCACGAGTTTGTCCTCAACAGTGACAATTAGAGGAGGGTGATGTGGAACTAGCTTAGTTAGTGCACTAGGAGCCGAGGAAATTGATGGAGCCCTGTCCTGTGTGCTCACGAAGCAGAGGTCCAAACTACGACCATTTTCATTAACTACATGGTTAATTTGAGAAAGCGTCGCTGCGCTGTAGTTGTCGAGAAGGCTAATAGCTCCTGCGTGAAATGTAGAGCTATCAGGATCTGGATACAGGAATCCGCAATGAGATGGACTCCACGAAACGCCTGGCAGTTTAAAGTCACCAAAAATGAATATCTCATCAACTGGAGTGGAACTTTCGACAACTGTGAAAACTGACCGACAGTGAGTATCGATGAGTTCATTGTCGCGGACTCGATCAGGTGGAATGTACAGAGCGCATAGAAATAGTGTGCGATCACCCAGATTGATGGCTGTCCAAACCTGCTCCACATTGTTCCATTAATCGTTCTCGATAGCCTTTGCCTCCAACCCGCTACGGACAGCTACAAGGACACCTCCACCAGTAGATTTACGGCTGTTGTTAGGATTCCGATCGCAACGAAAGACCTCGTAGTCAGGACCGAAGACTTGACTGGAAAGCGTTCGATAATCAGAGCATTTTGTGTGGTCGTTGGCGGCGTGTGGCTCTGAATTGGCAGTAAAATGTTCCGCAATAATATCCTCCCTATTCGTACACGCCCGAAGATCGGAGGCAAATGTCACTTCGACTTGTTTCATCTAGGAACCATTATCTGATGACTGGGTTGGGGAAACAGCACATGCATGTACGTAATTGGTGGATTTGTTAGTAATTTTGAAGCTTTTGGACAATGCTTGAAATTTATCAATTTTTCAATAGTTTTAATTTGAAAATCAACAGTCGATGTTATCGATGCGTAGAAATGTTTCTGATCGATTGGTAATAAAAAATTTGAAATTGGTGCAGGGGCAGCTAAGTTATTAACGGTCAAAATCTTTCATAATTTCATTTATAGGATTTCATAAAGTGTGCCCCCATCTTCCCGAAAGACGTAGTCCTACGTCAAAAGTCAATTTTTCATAGCTATTATCCAATATATATATTTGTAGTTCTTTAAATTTCAGTGAGGCCCTTTTATATTTTTCGCAGATTCCCTAGGGTCAAAACTAAAAGAAAAAAAAATGCTACGACATGTTCTGTGTCAAATTTGTTAGTTACAATTTTTTTAAATTCTCTAAAATGATGTTTTTTTGTACATCACTGCATTCAATCATCAAAAGTGGGTATCAAACATTGCGCTATTATCAATCAAATGCAGCAGAAAGATGGGAAATTTTATGGACAAAAACCGAATATATTTTAACCTCATTTTGAGCCGTTAAAAAGTTATTCGTGATTTACTGTGGAAAGAAAAGTTCAGAATTTCAATACTTGCAGTCAGGCTTCCAGTGCGCGCGCTACCGTATGCGAGATGCAATACGAATAGTCTCATAGTCATAGCAGTCTCATGCGCAAGAGATTTGTAGCACTCTGTTTCTCTCTCTTCAGTTTTGTCGCATCTCACATTCTCATAATGTCAGTGTGTCGCACTGTTTTGTGAGCACAGCACATTTCCGGATGTAAGCGTTTCATGAGAACGAGTATCATGCGACGTCGCGTGAGCCGAAGCTCATGCGCTTTTCGCAATGAGACGTCGCTAAGCGACGTTTCAATGCGACATCGAAATAACAAACTCAACTGGAAGACCAACTCGTGTTCTTGATGTGGGAAAAGTGTTGTTTTGTTTTGAAAACGATGGAAAGCGACCTAGCTACTACACTCTCATCGAACATGGAGAAGAGGTGTCGGATGGTTATGACTAACAAAGATTTCCAAGCGGCAATTTTCGTTGATTAAAGGATTAACTTGAAAAATAGCCCATGCATAACGAACGAAGGAAGAGATGTGGCTTTGGTAAGCGAAATGTACAATCAAGTTGTGGTCTATTTGCTTTTTAATACATATGCTTTTTTTAATTTCACCGAGGGTACTAACACTAGGACTATTTAGAAATCTGTCGTTGCAAATTTCTTGTTTCAATTCAGCATCATGGTGGCTGATATGAACTATCCTGTGAGCACTAACACATCTGAAGAATTCAGTTGCTGCCGCGACGCGGCACGATACGGATAGCAAAGCTAAAAAATATCTTCAACGGCTTGACTATTGAAATAGCGCTAAAACGACAAGAAAAACACGTCCGCGCGTCTCAGAAGCTGAGCGATAACTTACCATTTAAAAACTTCACCCCATTTGAAAAGGGCACACAAGTCTTCTGTGAACAAACCCTTCAAGTCCCTTCTCTCGTCACCCGACAACATCACATATGATGGGACCGCGAGAGTCAAGGCATGCGAAACAGCGCATGTTGCATGCATAGAGAAGTTGGAATGAAACAGTCGCATGTGATTGAATACATGCGTCGCATTGAGAGAGCAATGCGATGAGACAAAAAAATGAAACGCTTGAATTTGTTAAGCTTGTCGCGCACATCGTTCTGGTCTCTCTTTTGTACAATTAATGTAGCACACCATGGATTTGAGAGTCATGCGACGTCTCACAGCTCGCTGTCGCATTTGTGTACGCGTGAGATTTCCGGAAGCCTGCTTGCAGTATGTCCACCAGCAAATCAATCTATCATCGAAATCGTTCTATACAAATCACCTACTTTGTTGCAAATCGCTTGATAACATTTGTTTCGAAGTTTCGAGAATTCAATAGGAGGATATATAAGCGGAGAGGGATCGCGTACCTTGAGAATGAAAGAAGAAATGTAAAATTTATTTTAAAAATCTTAAATCAGATAATTTACCGCTTTACGTAATCGTTGAAGAGTTGATTTACTCAAACTCAACATGTCGGCGTCAAATCCAAATGCGACAGCCGTGGCCGCTAGTACACCAACTGCCCTGCGATTAGTTACTCGAGTCCGATCTATATTCTCGACGACAGCATTCCCCCAAAAGGCTTCTCCTCTTCGACGCAGCTCCACTTTTTCTTCTTCCACAAATGGTTCTCGTATCATTTTCCTCCGCTGTAGACCGCTCTTCGGTTTTTTTGTCAATTTTCTTGATTTATTCTCGTTACACTGAATGCATATCAATGGTACACTGCTTGAGAAGCTTTTCGGAAACTCAACCGGAACTTTGTTTGTCACCTGCTGGCTTCAGAATTCTGCACGGACAGTATCGTTTCGTAGCTCTTCGTCGATGTGGTTCCCACTTATGTTGAAGAAGTAACTCAACCGCATCCTACACATCTTCAAGCTGGCAATAGCTTCGATTTTTTCTTCTTGAAGGCCTTACTTTGGCGTTGCCATGTCACAACGAGCTTGGCAACCCTCCTAACAACGTTTCGCTTGAGCTGGTGCGAAAGTCCGGCTTGATTCCAAATCTCCACAGATCACCTTTTCCAAGGGTATTTCGTCATATTAACCTACAAATTAAACCAAATTTTATAGTAAAACATTCCCAAAAAGAGCCTATGATCACCATTTTGAAAATCGCTTTCCGTGGCCCAGCAGCCGGTGTAATTTTTTGTATGTAAATCCTCACATATATTTTTTCTATCTGCCACCACATGGTGTTGTATTGCACGTGAAGTTGTTTATAAAATTTATATGTGGAGTATTTTAGAAAAAGTATGTATGAAATCATATAAATCGAAGGTCAAGTCTAAAATTCATTTTATTCAGAATTTTATTGCTATTTGGCCTGGAACGCTGGAACTGCTTAATAATGATTGCCATCGTAAAATAATATACAAATAAACGTATAACTTTGTCGGTGGTATAACCTCGAGTAACTTGCATTTCAGGGGCTGCCTGAATACCGGCTTACATTTCGACATTTCCCCTTGGCCTCATAGCATAACGCCAGCTTGTCAGAATCATCCTAAACGTATTCTTATGTCGGTTTCTGTAACGCCTGTAAACTGTACGTACCTAACATATTATGATTCTGCAAACTTCAATCAAAAGCAAAACAAAAACAGTGAAAACGCATCACGTCTACAAAACGTATTTTCAGTCCCTCTCTCTACAATCGCTTCTTTGTGATGGCCATTATCTTGTTTTTCTTTTCGACCGAAACCGGCTCACAGTTAATTTAATCAATACCATTAGAGCTACCTCGCCCGCGTCGATGAAAAGCAGTTCTGTTTTTTGCCGAAATAAATAAATTTAGGAACTTAGTTTTACTGCTGGGCAACATTTATTAAGTTTAGTTAAAATGGGAGCTACCTCCTACTTTACGTTGTTTACTGTGTTGAGTGTTTTCACGGCCCTGTTCTCCATAATCTATCAGGCCTACCTGGCATCGAGTGATCTAAGAAGTCTGACAACGATACTGCAAAATCTCAAAACATTAGAATATGAATTTAAAGTTGATAAACCTCGCGTTGCCATAGGCTACGGTTCGTGCAGCGATTTGTACGTAAAGGCAGTGGATTTCCTCAATTTTACCAGCAACGTCGAGGAATCGCTGAAGCAAGCGACCTTCAATGTGGACGATATTACCAACGAGAATGAGTTTCTTCAGAGTTTTGCATACTATTTTCAGCGTGGAGCTGCAGCCGAGTGAGTTCGATAGGAGGGGGGATGCTGGCGTGGGCCGACGATAAGCGACTGTAATTTATGGTTTTTATCGGATTTTTCCCCAGACGATTCACTGCCAACAAGACGTTGTTCCAAAATTTGGTGAGATTAGCGAAAAAAGCTCAAAATGCCGACCCTCGATGGGCATTGGGAGGAAATGCACCGGTGATAGGATCCAGACTGGCCACCGAAGGGGCTGAAGTTATACTCGCGGCTAAAATGTCATCCAAGTGAGTTGGTTATTATTATTTAATTAAATGCCTCTGGCTGGTGGTTATTTTTTTTAAATCAAATTGAAATTGAATAGCTGAATAGTATATTCCAAATACTACATTAATCATATTTCGTTCAACAATCTGTAGGAATCACTGCTTTGAATCTTTGCACAAAAATTAATAAGTATAACTTCTGTTGATTTTTGTATTTAGTAATAGAAGTTTTTCCTTGTATTAAGCTAGCTACCCTACTAAGGACTAGTAGTTGACTGGTTCAATGATGGCGTTTCCTAACACAGTCATCTAAAGTTAGCGTCTAAGTTGATAGCATTGCTGTACACGTTGATTTCTTGGATCCAATTTATTTATAAGCATTGAAAAAACAAATAATCTGAATGTTTTGGCTTAAGATAGAGAAACAAAGCTCTTTTCTTACAAAATAAATGCAAAACTAAAAAAGTGATTTGAATTCATTGTTTGTTTTCAATGAAAATCAAGTGTTCATCATGGTTCTCTGGCCAAACAAATAAACATTTACTATACAAACACAATAGAATCGATGGAAACAATGCAAAAAAAAATCTTTTAAATTTGTCGAACCTCTTAACGGAATCCCTTTATGAAGAGCTTTGGGTATGTTGGTTTATTTCCTTTAAATTCCGTTATAATACTATTATACTGTAATTATAACTACTACTTGCAGACTTCATCAGTGCCAAGTACTCAACAACACTGAAGAATCCATCTTTTATCTACGAGTTAAAAACTAATCAATAGGTACTAAAAATCAACAGGTATCCACTGCCATGTCACAATTTACCTAACCAGGTACCTAAGTTTATTCTCCAACAGGTAGATAGCATGCTAAAGAGTCTCAAGTATCCGTTTCCTTGATCTCTATTAAGCAATGTTGATGGATTATTTATAAACATTTCTTAACTGTCTGCTACGTCTAGTTTCCAAGGCGAAGATACAGTTCGCAGGATATTAATGGTATCCTTTGACAAAGTGTGCCCCTTTGTAAAGATATGTTCTGCAACCTTGGCTTTAAATTTATAATGAAGTCCTTTATCCATCTCTTTGTTAGCCTTTTTTATCTCTGCGATGTGTTCCTTAAACCTTGTTTCCAGAGTCCTTTTCGTTTGACCAATGTAGATTTTATTGCAATCTGGACAAGAGATTTTGTAGATTCCGGCTTTCCCTAAGACATTTATTGAATCTTCTGTTGATCCAAACAGTGACTTCAGCTGATTTGTCATGCTGCTGAATACCAAATCTAGGCCTAAACTTCTAAACGTCGAAATCAATGGTTTTTTAATGTTTTTGTCGAAATTCACCGCTACCCGTTTTAAACCCTCAGTTACTGGTGTAAGGGTTGTCGAAATACGCCTAAAATGATCCCGTGTTCTTTTATCGATTACTGCTTGAATTGTTTTTTTTTTCTTGATACCCATTAAGTCTAGCGATTTCAAAAATGTGAGCTATTTCCTTAGATTTGCCTTTATCGCTAAGAGGAAGAGTTTGCATCCTGTGAACCATGTGGTGAAAAGCGACCATTTTGTGTTGATGGGAATGGTGTGAAGTTTACTCTATTTGTATTTGTTGGCTTTCTATAGATTTCAAAATTGAACGAAGACGTTTCCCTGATGATGAGAAGATCTAAGAAGGGGAGTTTGTCGTCTCTCTCTTCTTCGTGAGTAAATTTGATGTCCTTGTGAACGTTGCTTATAGCCTCCAAAGTTTTTGATAAATCTTCCCTTTTGACAATGCTAAAAATTTCATCCACGTACCTATACCAACATTTGGGCAACAAATTCCTATCCTCCAGAGTATTTTCTAGGTTAGCCATGGACAATTCACATAAACATTGAGAAAGCGGATTGCCCATACTAGCCCATATAGTTTGTTTATAAAAATTTCCTCTGAAAATTAAATAATTTTACTCCATACAAATACGAGTAAGCTTGAGATATGACCGAACTTTGACTTTCCAAGTAGAATCTTCACGTTTCTTCAGAAGCCAGTCCCAGTGTTTGAAGTTTTCACTGTTCACTGAATAATTCACGTGTATTTCCGCAACCGTTGGACCCTCGTGCGTCAGTAAACTAAACTGATTTCCTTGTATCGGCGAGACGACGAATCATGGCACATAAAGAAACAGAGAAAAATAAATCTTGCTGCATCGATGATCAAATACGTTCACACAAACCATTTACTACTGACGGTATCATTGAAAGAATCTTTATATTCGTGTGTACCATTCGGCATGGATTGTGTGAGTTAGTTTCTGTTCATGATACATCTGCGTATCGCAGTATAACATTGGCGAATGGTTCATATTCAGCAACATGTAATGACACTGAATATGGATGGTCAAAAGCTGTTGCATAAAGTGAACATTAACTTTTCACTTCGAATTACGTGGGTTATTGGGGGAGATTTTGTATTGCCAGGTTCCTAATTTTGCGTATATATCCTAGCCATTGTAAACACATTGAAATACTATATTCCTGAAAACTGTTTTCAGAGGATTTCCAACAAAACATAATCCCTAGTACCCCTGATGTTCTTGACTGGATTTTCTTTATTGGTCGGGATGTTAAGGCGTCGTCCACTGTTGTGGTGATGTGGCATGTGGCCTCTCATTCCACAAAACATGCATGCAACCTCGATTAATGTCAGACACCCACTGCCCCACTACTGTGGCGGCGATGTGGCGTGTCAAAACATTATGCTGAAACATTGCATGTGGCGAACGTCAACATGATTTTAGTCAAGTTAGTTTCTGATATGGCGGCGGAGTGGCATCTGCTAGCATAGTAAAAAAGCTTGTCGTGGTTTGCCTTACGCCACATTACATCCACATGATCTTTTGGCATGTTGTATGATGCCGCACCGTCGCCACAACAGTGGGCGCCTCGTCTCGTGTCCGCGGTACGTTGTTCTAGAGTTTTTTTTTCGATTACACGAGTGAATCCCGAAAATTTAATACACGTATCATGTGGAAATTTGATTTAATTGGTTCCTAAATGGAATACCCCGTGATCCCGGCGATATAGGAAGTTACTGTGTTCGGCAAACATTTTCAGGTGACTAAGATCTTTCCGATGGTGGACATGTTCAGAGTGGTGTAAGTATACATATGTGATTTTTTATGAGCCATTTATATCTCATGAACCAGACATTCATGGGAAATACAGTCCTCAACAATGTTTTTTTCCCCGGTGGACAAGGCCTTCTACATGAAGAACAGGTTAATTGCGAATGCTCTTGTTACGCGGCTCTATTGTATATGTGCTTTATCACAAGATCCTGACTTACTTGGAAAATACAGTCTTCTACATAGCTGCTAAGCTAACCAAGTCCTTTCAAATGATGGGCAGTACACTCTTATAAATTATCACCGACTTCGGTAATTTTTACCGAAATCTGAACAGCTGAACTTTTCGGTAAAATTTATGCAATTCAATTCAATTGCTTTTCAGCTACTTTGAAACTAAATCTCCACTAAAATGACAAGATTTGATAATTTAAACAAGGTTGAAAAAGTTTTGACATTTTTTTTCAAATTCAATAGCCTTTAAAATGAAAGTCAAAGTTTTGCAGAACGTTCAGCTGTTCTGATTTCGGTAACATTTAACGAACACGGAAACAACATCTTAGTGTGTAAGTGTGTATGATACATGCACAAGCTCTTGCGTTCACTGCTAAGTTGTTCAGATGGCCAAGGTCACTGCAAAGTTGTTCAAAAAATATATGAAAACTTTCCCGAAGTCACCCATTCACGGATTTTTTATACGTTGTAGCAAGCGTGATTGACCATTTTATGGATAATCCGGATCATCTGGACAACTTGTTTGTGGCCTCCAGTGTGCATAATTTTGCTCCAATGCCAAATTCAGTGAGATAACACATCAACAAGTGCTTGCCCAAAAAAAAAAAATGGAGCTCTAGGACCAGTTTAATTTATTTACCTCTTTTACCTCTTTTACGGATGTTCTGGAGGACCAGTCTGTTATCATCAATATTATGGCCACAATATGAAATTAATTCGAAAAACACATCAACAAGTGTGTTCGCAAAAAAATGGAGCTCTAGAAACAGTTTAATTAATTGACCATTTTTACGCATGTTCCGGATCTTTTAATGGACCAGCCTTAGCCCTGCAGGGTACATATTTGAACCAAAACCCCATATTTTTTCTTAAAACTCACCAATAAGTGCTTCCGCTAAAAACTGCGCACTTTTACGGATGTTACGGTGTCCCGCTGGAAGACACATTTAACCAAAAGGAGGACAATTAACAATTTACCCGAAGATACCAGGAAGTTATCTATTCATATAACTTTAATATCAGAGTGTATCAGAGTTTTATTGACTGTATATAGATTTAGTTTCATTCATTTTAAACCGACCATGACATTGATCCGTGTTCATAATAATTAAAAACTAACTAACTTATCCGCGTTCCATTTCTTCGATTATTTCTTCCCTTATTCGCTCGTAAGGTACCGCAGGACGAAGGAATGTTTCTTATGTACCTAGCTGCGCTGTGCTACTGCCAGAGTTGGTGCGGTAGAAAGATGACGTTTGCGATTCCTTATGTATCATCCTCTGCTTTGTACGGATCTGTACGGCAATGTTGTGCGGTAGACACGAAGAGAAGATATGTGCAGTCCAAAGTTGTATACAATCATTGAACGCATTATTCGGTGAACTGTTGAGATCGTTTATTTTTTGTGCAACCATCGTTCTTCGTTTCGTTCATTCATTTGGTGCTACAAAACTGAATACTCTTATTCGGCAAAGGTGTCTGACACTTCACTCATTTGTGAATATCTATTCATGACCAGTTACGAACCTGACACACGGTAGTTCAATGGCATGTTGACAGATTTCCAAACACTGGGCCCAGTCCTCTAAAAGGCTGATGGCTTCATTTACTGGTACACTTGGAAAAAGTGCTGTGACATCAAATGAAACCATGACTTCATCTTCCCGAATCTCTCCTGATG